TTTGGGTAGTTTAGGGCTTAGGGTCTAAGGGTTTAGGGATTTGGGGTTATTAGGCAACGCAAAGTCTCCACATACCTAAAGTCTGTGGCGAAACCATGGTGCCAGGAAAGTTAGCTACTGTAAGATATCCTGCTGGGAAACCCATCAGCCAGTTCTTGATGGAGGAAATCTTGCACCACCACCACTTGTCCCTAACGTACTGTCGTTCACGAGAATCAAGATCATTGAGCTATAGTCTAAACTCCTAGCATTAATAACCCCTATAGTCGTCCACATATATGATCCCCTATATAACCCCCCTTCAAGGAGTTTAGACTGTAGCTCATTTAGGTTATGTGAACGGCTTCCACCGGCCGTAGGATGCCTCCCCAGACCTGGTGCAGTACTAGTCACGCACGGAAGACAACCTCACTAGACCACACCCTAGAGGCCCATGCAGTTACCTATGTATTGCGTTCCTGTCCTTAAGTCCCTATATGGTAGTTTCCCAAAATAAAGGGACCCCAATATAGACCCCAATATACTATAATCCTTATTATAAGGACCCCTAAAATGGTACCCCTAATTTTGGGAAACCCCCATATAAATTTATACTATCTATAACCCAAGGACCTACTATATGGGTACCTGAAACTCCTCACTTTTAAGCCCAAAATCTCACCGTGCCGTGCACTTTAGAGTTAAGGGCTTAAAATTGTGGATGCATAGGATTTAGAGTTTTGAATCCAGGGGATAGGGCTTAGAATTGCAGAGTTAGGGGTTGATGGGTTTAGGCCTTTAGTCTACAAATCAGTGCCTCCAAAATGCGGCGGCCGCCGGGGGCATGAGCAAAGAACCCCATGCTTTCGGCTCCTAAACCCGTAGCCTGCCGTTTTGAAGAATCTACTGTAGGGGCCTGTTTATGATAGGGTGTTTAGGTTACTATAGCTACATCACGAAACTAAAGGCATGTTGGTAATCTTTCAGGCCTTTACATCCAACACCAATAAACCACAATGTAGCCAAAGTTTGCATCTGATTTTCCATGCTCTTTACCAACTCATTCCCCCCTAAACCCTAAACGATCCGGCCCCTAGAGCTGGAACCTTAAGCCTTTTGCCCAAAACCCTAGGCCCGAAGCACACACCCCAAACTTCGAACCCAAAAACTGTAAGCCCCAAACCCCCAAAATTTGAAACCCCAAGCCCCAAAGCCCCAACAAGAAGCCCTGAAACCTACACCCTAAAACTCCGCACTTTGAAGAAGCTACTTTGAAGGCCAGGGGGACTTAGTAAGTCCTTTAATCCATATGGTAATCCTACGGTGCATACTAAAAATCCTGCTTGACCCTGAGCACCCTATACCTTGGGAATTCTGGTACTATGGTATACTAGGGTCATGCAGGATGTTTAGCATCAACAGTAGTTATCCGCATGAAGAACGTACTTACTAAGTCCCCCTGACCCTCCAAGCCTAAGCCCTAAACCCCAAAGCCGAATCCCGAAGTCCTGAACCCTAAACCCTCAAGCCCATGCAAACTTACCATTATTGGGCTTCTCAGAATTCCTTAATCTCCGAATTTTGAGATTCCAAGGCTACAACCAAAGTAATTAATGGTAATAAACCCAACCTAAACCCCAAAAGTATGTAAAATAATTGCCTTTATGGCTGTTAGTATGGGTTTAGGGCTATTATTTTTACATACTTTTGGGGCTAAGGAACTACAAGTACCCATGTATCCAGCCCCGACCCTAAACCCTAAACCCTAAACCCATGTATCCAGCCCCGGCACCCACTCCGAAGCCGCTTTGCACTCGTATTTCTGGGACAGGGTGCTGAGGCACACCAGGTTCCTGTCACTCAGTGTATAGTCTCCCTTAAGTACATAGAATCTGGCTTTCCCTGAACCCTAATCCCTAAACCCTAATCCATAAAACCTATAATCCCTAAACCCTAATTCCTAAACCCTAAAACCCTATGTTCTATCTACTTAAGGGGGACTATAGGTTTAGGGATTAGGGTTTGGGGTGTAGGGATGACGGTTTCGGGTTTAGCTGAAGCGGACCAAGTTCTTTCATAGGCAATTTCTTTGTTGGGAACCCGAGAAGGCCCTACACACGAGACTAAAGGGTTTAGGGGTTTAGGGTTTAGGGTCAAACGTCAGGCTCCTACAAAACAAGATATAGGAATCATAACGAAGGGGCCCTGCAGAATCATCACCCTAGGCCGCCTGAAGGCATTGTGCTTAAGACTTTGCTGTGTGACTAAGATGCAAGCATGGAATTCACACGTGGGTCCCCTTTGAACCCCCTCCCAAACAGACATGGAAGCTGCTGTGGGCGGTCTTTTAGTGCCCTTTTTGGGCTGCCCTAAGGGTCCAAGTATTCAATACTCAAAACCTTACCCAAAACCCATATTACTTACTATTACCCAAAACCCAAGTACCTAATTATTGGGTGCATGGACCCTTTGGGCTGGTGCCGTGTAATCAAAAGGACTGTGCAGTCTTTCGGACCCTTCCGGGCCGTCAAGTTAGTTTGGGGAAGGAAAATGCAGCTTTTGCAGCTACAAGGTTAAGACTTAAGAACTGTAGGCTACTTTGTAGGTTATACTAGTTATACTTCAGGTCTGTTTCACACTAAATTCCTCAATTAAGTACCCCTCGAGGTCCTAAGTTTTGGGGTGTTTCGGCCTCTCTTCAGATTACAGTGTGAAACTTGGGGCCTTAACCCTGAACCCCAAACCCTGTAATGTAGCAGGGGGACTAGGTTTTGAATGCCGACCTGGACCTGAACTCAGTGGAGTAATGACCTTTTGGTCTATTCTTAGGGGTCCTGGGCAATTGTTTTACCTACTTTTGGGGCCCAGGTACTCCCAAAACCCAAAACCCAACACCGTAATTCCCAAACCCAAAATGCAGGCCAGGAGACCTGTGAATACCGAACCCGAACCCAAATCAAACCCTTGAGCTCGTAAATAGGGTTTTAAGGTTTGGGGTTGCCTAACCCACACACCCAAAACTTAACACGCCTAATGAATCCCGAATCCGCAAACTTCAAAAAACAATATCCAAAACCTTCAGCCCCAACAACCCCGAAACGGAGAACCCCTAACCCCAAACCCTAAACGGGGTTGTCCTTTAAGCCCTTTGAACCTTCTTTACTATTATGGTTCTCTACAAAATGAAAATAGCAGGGGAAATTAATTCAAAAAGATCCCAAAGGACAACCCGGCAAACCCCAAAAAACAAGAAGAAGAAGCTAGCTTGAAGCAAGGATCTGAGTGGCAGAGCTCCCGTGGTAGGCCACATTCATGGTAGGATCTCATGGGCTCTTTGCTCCAGGGCTTGGAGATTTAGGGTTTGGGTTTAGCGTTTGGGTTTGAGGTTTAGGGCTTAGGTTGGGATTTTAGGGTTTGGGTTTGGGGTCTAGGGCTCAAAGGATCTCGGGAGTGTAGGTTTCAGCGCTTAACGTTGGGGTAGGGTTGGAGGTTCAAGGGCATGGAGATCTGGGCGGGTACACGAGGACACGGCCCTGTAAATGTAATTTCCCTAGACCTGCAATAAAAGCATCATGTTAACATTTCCTGAGAGTTTTATTTCAATACAAATTGGCTACTATAATTCCCAAAGAAATAGGCGGTACTACGGGATGCAAGTTCGTAGAGTCCCATGCTGAGGATAACTTGAGATCCTGTCCTTGTGGGCGCCGGATGCAAATAAAAGTGATCGTTTCCGGAGGACGCCGCCAAAATAGTCATGTTTTCGGTCTTTGATTGAAGGGTCTGCTTCTGAGCGGGGTGTATTGCTGTTGGAGCTCTTTGCGTGACTCCTATCTTTTAGACCTAATTATACAAGTATTGATGACTGTTCATATGTGCATTGTACGCAGGCTGTAGAGAGTCTCTAAACTATATGGGGGTGCTACAAATGCGGGGCCCTAAGCAAGACCCATACACATAAAAATTGTTCTGCGAAATCTCTGCCTCCGCTGGATATCTGTATCGGTGGGCGCTCTTGCAACCCCAAAAAACACTACTTGCCTGCTATGCTGGGCAGCTCAACTTCTCTCAAAGTTACTACCTCGGCCGCCCCGGAATGACGGGCCACTCTACCCTTGGGTACTGCCCCCCTTCAGTAACAGTTGGATAATAAATATAATATAGTTATATATAGCCTCTTAATAGGCCCCCTAATATAGACTGTTACTGGGTGGGGGCATTACCCAACTCTACCCCAATCATTTGGAAGCAACGGTCCCTAAACCATAAACCCTAACAGCGCACTGGTGTTCAAGGTAGGCTCCTACTAAGGCTTAAGGTTGAGGCTAGATTGTATAGGGGAGTATTCTAGGGGCTAAGGGGGAATACCAGGAGTTTAGACTCTAAGCTCAGGTGAACTTAGGACTTTGGGGTGTGGATCCCGAAGAACCCTTTTTTTTGCCAAGGAGCTGTTGCCGCCAAGGGCCATGATGACATAGTACGGAGTTCCAGATGCCAGCACCTCACATTGTGCTGCCATGGGGTTCTGGGCTGAAGGATTTCTAAACGCCAAACCCTAAAGGCTGTGTTCCAACTTTCTTCTAGATCGCACCCTTGAGTAAGGTTCGGATTAAAGGGTTTAGCGCTATAGGGCTTTGGTGAGAATGCATGACCATGGTCAGCGTTCTGCGGTGTTGACACGACGTAGACCTCAAGCCGTAAACCTAAACCCACACTTCGAGTAGCATGAACCTTCCATTGCACTCAATACTCGTTGTTCAGAACGGCATTGCTCTCTTCGTCTATGACAAGTCACACCTGACCGCTTGTCTTTAGACAACTTCACTATGATCATCGAATACCATTGATTCTGGCCAAATACTAATTAAGCGCAGTCATAGCTAAGGTTGCTTCATATTCGGAACCCCTAGGGATCCAAATAGCCCAATGTAGGTAATATTTACAGACTTTGGGGCCCAATGTAGGTACTATTTGTGTACTTGGATCCCTAGGGAAAGACATGACTGTCACAGCAAAGGGGCCAGGTCCGTCGCGTCGCCCGTGTTGAAAGCGCGCTTGGCCGAGGCCTTCATGCGACCGTTCTCGAAGGTGTAGGTGACGTCGGTGAGGTCCTGCGTAAAGGAAATGTAACCCTAAACCCTGAACCCTAAACCTCTTTGTTCAAGGTTTACCTTTAGGTTGTCTTAGGATTGTTTGGTACAGAGAGGAGGCTCTCGCTGGCCAAGTAACTCAATTCCTTCCCATGTTGTATACCCACAATTACCATTGCACAAATGCATCCATGTTCATGAAACTAAATCGTTAATACCGTTCGTGGGATGGATTAACAGATGTGAACCCGTCAGTTTTGCAGCAGATTGCTAGAGACTTCCGGCCTAAGACGCCTCATGGTCCGGTTGGTCGTGCACGTACTTGCTAACTGCTAACCTCATTTGAGCTCCAATGCTCCAGATACATAGGCTCATAAACACAAGAGGGCTCTGGAAGTGTCCTGCTTCTGGTCGATCACGATATTGTAGCCGTTCAAGTTGCACTGCGACAGGCTGAGCGCCACGCCCTTGTGCATCTGCGTGAGGCCTTTCGCACAGAACTTCTGCCCAAGGCACTGGTAGGCACCGCAGGTGCCACAGGCACCGCAGGCTGCTCCGCAGGCTCCACAGGCGCCACATGCACCGCATGCACCGCAGGCACCGCATGCGCCACAAGCACCACATGCACCGCAGGCGAGCCTGCGGCCTGCTCCGCAGGCTGTGCCGCACGCGGCTCCGCAGCCGGCACCGCAGGCTGCACCACAAGCTGTTCCACAGGAAGCTCCGCAGGCAGCTCCGCAGGCAGCTCCGCATGCCGTGCCGCAGGCTGCCCCGCATGCCGTGCCGCATGCTGCACCGCAAGCTGCTCCGCAGCCACCCCCACATGCACCGCATGCTCCGCAGGCCCCGCCAACAGGGCAAGTGCCCAGAAAAGTGCCGCAGGAGCCGCAGGCAGCACCGCAAGCTGCGCCGCAAGCTCCACAGGCAGCTCCACAGGCTCCGCCACACGCTCCACAGGCAGTGCCACAAGCAGCGCAAGCGCCGCAGGCCGCGCCGCAGGCAGTGCCACAAGCCGTACCGCAGGCACCGCAGGCCGTGCCGCAGGCCGACCCGCAGGCCGTGCCACAGGCTGAGCCACAGCCGGTGCCACAGGCTGTCCCGCAGGCGGTGCCGCAGGTAGTTTGCAGCTGCCTGACCGCGAGCTTCTTGGTGCCAGCGGGGCGACCGGTCCTGCACGAAAATTGGAAGGAGCGTTGGGGTGGGGACTGTTCTTTTTTGCAACCAACAAAACCTTCTTGGGCAACAGCCTCACAACCGTTTCACACTCTTTTAGAATTGCCACCTAATCGAATAGTTAAAGCACTGTCGACTGCGATTCTAACGACACGGTTGCACTCAAACAGGGCAATAGCACGTTGCTGAGAAGCTATAGTCGGAAGCCGCATGACACAACATGTCGAGCGATTTTGGACTTGCAGACTTGGTCGTTGGCTTAATTTTGGTCTGTCTTACATTGACTTTCTTGGATGGTGGAAGGCCCAAAGCTAGAACTTGGGACTTGATGCAGGGCTGCAGATGCAAAGGCTCCAGCTACCCACAGTTACGCGCAAGAAGAAGAACCGGAAACCGGTACATGGTAGTTTCCCAAAATAAGAGGACCCCTAATTTTGGGAAACCCCCACACTGCCACGTCTCCTGACATCCTCGAAGACGGCGTGTCCAGGGCAGCCACTGCCTTGGAGGACCCGGCCCAAAGGCCCAGAGTTCACGACCAGGGCGTCTTCGAGCCTGGCCAGGCATTGGTTTCACCCAGAGAAAACCGAGTGCCGGGGCCCCTCTTGCGGATAATTCTATAAGGAAGGCTATGAACAAACTGTTTCATGGATCGTGATTGACTTTCCACACGCACGGCAAAGAAGCAGGCTTGAACAAGTGCAGGCAAGGCTGGCTCCCACATCTTGCTCACACGCGGGTATAGCCCACATACTCAAGAATAAGGACTGCTTTGCGCTTGGTAAAGGCCCTGAAGAAAACATGCTCAGACATCTTGCTGCAGGACGTGAAAAGCAAAATTGCGCGTCACAGAACCTAGCAACACCCTGAGGCCTGACTTCCTAGAGTTTTAAACTGGATGCTGTGGCAAGTCCTTGCAACTATTGCGTAAAGTGATGGGGCGCCTTAAACCACCCTGAACCCTAAACCCTACTGTCTCTGAGCTTGCAGATTGACATGTGCAGTTCCAACCTTGTCAAGGAGTTATGCATGGTGCGAGCATGACTGAGCACAAAAGAAAATTAAATCCCTATAGACCCCCCAACTAGCCTCTATGTAGGTGAGGTGCCAAGCGAGCTATATATAGTCTACACTCCGAGTATCCCCCTCAATATCCCCTATAGTAGTCCCATATAGACCCCGAAACCTTAAAACCAGAAAATATACCATAATATACCACAGCATACTATAACACGTACTATTATAGTATATTATCATATACCAGAATATACCTTAACATACTATAACATATACTACTATAGTATATTTTCATACCGCATAATATACTACTTTTCATGCACACCGCCTCTGCTGACGGCTGCAGGCTTCACCGCCCTTCTGGCCACGGTAGCCGGTAACGTTGCCTCGGGTGCGGAAGAACTTCAATTTGCATCCCGGGCCCCAGGAAATACCGGCTTTTTGGAGTCCGGGTCTAGATTTTGGGGTTTAGGGTTTAGGGTTTAGATTTTGGGGTTTAGGGTTTAGGGATTAGGGTTTAGATTTTGGGCTTTAGGTTTAGGGATTCAGGGGTTGGGTTGAACCATGTTCAAGCAACATCCAACGAACAAACGGCGCACAACCCAAGAATGACTGCAACAGGTCACCTACAACATCTGACGTTCTCCTAATTTCCTAAGCACTGAACCGTGAGAGATGGCAGTTGAAGAGCTCCCAATAATGGAAAGTCCAGGGCCCGCCTCATTGGGCATATGAGTAGCGTTATTTTTTTGTGGTTGAACCTAGTAAGATACTATACCCCAAAAGGAGGATATAATCTTACTCTATCTTGGGTACCAAAGTATCACAAAATAAAATACTACTCATATAAGGGATTATCAGAATTGTATCCCTCTTTGGGCTTCCCAGTATACAGCCCCTAATAAGGAATCCCAAGAGGTTATCCAAATTATGTCCTTTTTGGGGCTTCCTAGTTTACAGCCCCTGCTCAGGAATCCCCCCAAAAGGGATCATACGTAGACAACTCATCACAGAGGCGGGCCATTGAGTTTGAAGTTTTTCAACCCCCATACCATCAGGTTTGGTTTTAGGGATTCAGGGTTTATGATATGGTCTAAGCCCCGTCCCTGAACCTGAACCCCTTAACCCCGAATCCTGAACTCCACCCTGAACCCAAAACCCTGATGAGTCCTAAGCCCTGAACCTCAAGCACTAAACCCTAGACCACAAGCTCCCCTACCAGCAGCTCCAGATTAACTGCTTTCGGGGTGGCCCAGGGTACCGCGAAGGCAGGGCGGCATGAACGGAGCCTCCAGCACCTTGAGGGGAGATTTTTATATATAGGGGTATAATATCGGGGGTCTTATAGGGAAAAGAAAATGGAGACTACAGGGATTATAGGGGGTTTATGGGGGTTATATATATATATATATATAGATATATGTAGGGGTCTTAGGGCTTTGCGTTTTGGAGCTTCTCAAGAAGATGCTTAGGGTTGCATAGGGTTGAGAGGGAATGAAACCTACTACATTACATCAGGGTTAGGTTTAATTAGGGTTTAGAGAGTTTCAGGAATATGTTAAGAAGTGGAAGCTATTCTCTGGTATGTTACATACCTAGACCCTCCTTCTACCCTCTATATACCCTAAATAGGGACCATATACCCATATCTAAAGGGTACAAGGAGAGTCCTGGTAGGCTGTAGGGCTTAGTTGGGCTGGTCTCCCCAGCAGTGGATCGCATCTTTCCCAGGAGCCTACAACATTCCCCTAAACCCTAAACCCTATTGCAGGAGGATGAAGTGAGAGCATTTTCACAAAGTGGTGTCTTTTCCAAGGAGTATGGGGGTTTCCCAAAATTAGGGGTACCATTTTAGGGGTCCCAATTATGAGGATTGAAATGTTTTGGGGTCTATATTGGGGTCCTCTCCCAAACTAACATGGAAAACCATATGGCCCCATTTCGGATGGACTGTAGTCTTCAGTGGGCCCCTTTTGGGTTTCCACATTTTCCAGGAGTGTATGTCCTCCCAAAACGCAGAGTGTCACCCGCATGGGGCGAGGATGCTTTGGGTTAGGAACAAATTGAATACACAGAACCCTATAGACCACCTGAGCCATAGTCTAAACTCCTTAAAGGGGATCATATAGGAGAATATATAGGGGACTATTATAGGGGTTATGAAGGCGGATACTAGGAGTTTAGACTATAGACCACATGAAGGCAGCTGAACCCAGGACAACAGGATCAGGGAGCCTCGACAAAACCTACCCCAAATCCTAAACCCCGAACCCCCAAACCCTAAATTCCTCAACCCACCGAAGAACGGTCCGTCTGGAATTGGCCGGTTCTTCTCGGCAGGAAGAACCCTATCAGCTTGCACTATATATATATAATATATGGCAAACCCTGGGTTTACGGCCAGCTTAGGGTTTTAGAGTCCCCCTTAAGTAGATGGACTATAGCTTTGGGTCTATTATACTGGGATCCCCGTATACCCGATATTCTATCTACTTAAGGCGGACCATAGGGTTTTGGGTTTACTGGCGGCCCCGAAGCCCATTGAAGTAACCTTAAACATGGACTTGCCTCAAAAGATCTCCGGAAACAACCCTCGAGTTGAGAAATATGTATACCTCTATATATCACATATCTGTATATTCATATATAGGTACATATGTATAGGTTCCTTGATATATCTCCATAGGCCCTGGAAAAGCCAAAATATGTCTCTAGAACCCCTAAAAGGGACCCCTAAACGCCAAAGCACCCTTAACCCCTAAACCCTAAGGGCCAAAGCACCATGTAGTACTTGTACTCACCTGAGGCCTTGTCGATAGCGCCATGGCATTCCTGTGTACATGCGGGTGAGCAGGGGCACAGGGGTAGGGGTTTAGGGTTTAGGGCGTTTAGGGTATGGGGTTTCTGCCCCGCTACAACCCTAAACCTCACAAGGCTGTCAGACGGGTAGGGTCTCAAGCAAGAATAGCTAAGCCTGGTCGAAATGCTGGGGATTTACAGTGTATCTAGGGTTCAGGGTTTAGGGTTGGAAAGTCGAGGGGGGTCTTAGTAAGTAGGATAACAAGAGACACGACTAGCGTTATTCTGCATTCTAGGGGTTAGTTCACTCTTACTTGAGTCCTTATAGAACACGGCTGCCTGGACCGCGCTGAATGTAGAATGCCATCAGATGGTACAGGTATGTAGTTAGTAAGTCATAGGGTTTACATGCTATAGCAAATTATTGTCCTTTCCATCTTCCATGTTCTTTTCCAATTGATTCTACATCATGCGTATTCAGTCGGCAGCTATTTAGGCCACATACCCTTAACCATCAACCCCTACACCCTTAACCCCTAAAACCTAAACCCCTAAGCCCTAAGCCCAAGACCCAAAACCCCTAAACCTTGCGCCCTAAACCCCTACACCCTAAGCCCTTAAGCTTTAAACCTGGAATCCCTAAACCCTAAACCTGGGGTCATTCCCCCTTACAGTAACTGTTGCCGCAATGGGTTATAGGAATTATAAGAACCCCCTTAATAAGGCCCCTCTAAGGACAGTTACTAGTTACTGGGAGGGGGAATGACCCAACCTAAACCCTAAACCCTAAATCCCCAAAACCCTAAACCCTAGATCCTAAACCCTAATCCCTAAACCCTAAACCCCAACCCCCCTGTAAAACCAAAGTCCCAGTCTCATCAAGCTCTGCGACATCTGCCAGGATGCCGGCGCGGTAAGGTCCCATGATGGGCCTGGGAGGCTCGAATTTAGGGCGTAGGGTTTAGGATTTAGGGTTTAGGATATAGGGTTTAGGTTTTAGGGTTTAAGATTTCGGGGTTTGGTTTCAGGGTTCAGGGTTTAAGATGTAGGGTTTAGGGTCGAGGGAACAGGGGTAGGGTTTGGGCCCACGCAGGTCTCTTAAGGCTTGTTTCTTGGACCTTGTAGGGCTGAGGGTTGAGGGTTTAGAATGCAGGATTTAGGGTGTAGGGTTCAGGATTTAGGTTTTGGGGCCCGGGGTTAAGGGTTTGGGGCTAGGGGACTTAGGGTTTAGGGTCTGGGGACACTGGTGTCCTGCTAACAGTCTAACATGTCTCGCTGGGCTTTCTCGAGCCATTTAGGGCTTAGGGTTTGGGGTTTAGGGGCTTAGGGGCTTAGGGCATGAGGTTTGGGATTTAGGGTAGAAATTTGGGATCTCCGACGATGAGACTGGGTCCTCCTGTGGCCCCGGACCCATTTTGCTGCCTTGGGGGGTTTAGGGTTTAGGGTTTAGGGCCACCAGAGTCCAGAAGTAGACAACCAAACCTGCAAAGGACAAAAAGACGAAAAAGCCGAAGAAGAAATCAGAACTTCTCTAACTGGAGGAAAACATCCTTACAAAAATCACCATGCCCTAAACCCTCAACAACAAATGGTAGTTTCCGTGTTCTTTTCAGTTCTCCCTGTATAATCCCTGTGTTAACATCCTCAACTCCTAGGGTGCAACGGCTCCCAGTCTCTAGAAAATACATGCGACGCGGACGTTTAACCCAATCTACTCGCAGCTTTAGCAACCCAGCAAG